AAAGAACATCAAACAATTCCGGGGATGCCTCATTTTAATGGAACATGTCATTTTCTCCTTGTTGCCCCCAGGTAACTCCGAACAGTCTGGGTAGGAAGTAGGGTGCTCGCACAGCGCCTCAACCCCAGCAGGAGATTAATATCCTCAAATGAGAGAGCTAATACCCTCTCTTCTCTTCAATAATGTGGTGAAACAGCACATGAATCAGACTAAGTGAATGCAGCATACGTATTAGATGCACATTTCTACAGAACCAGGTGTTATTCAAATTAAAGAGGTATTTTCCATTGTCATCTCCGTAGAACAGATTTTTTTATTTGGTCTATGGGAGAGTCTCCTTTTTAATTAAACCAACCACACCGTCATTTTTTCCAAGAAAGATAATAAAAAAATAAAAATATTTACATCCCTTTTATCTTCCTAACCTTAATCATGAGGGGAAGAGGGTGCTATGCCTTTGCTAGATAGTTTTATCACATAAACATTACACTAACTTGCTTTAAATTACTGTTTTACAAGCCACTTTATTCTTCTTACGAATGAATAAGATTCTTGTTGCCTTTGACAATAATTATAATCATTTACTACCAAAAGGAATTCAAATCTGTAATAATGGCCATATATAGTTGACATATGAGTTTAGATATGTATATAATAATATATATGTAGCATGTAAACCTGAACACTACTTCCAACTGACCTCAATTTTCATCCAAAGTCAAATGTAAAAGTCTAGTAGTTTGATGGGCAATGCATTCTTTCTTCTCTGGCTCCTAGTCATGCAATTGACTGGACAGCCATATTCTCCATCAAAGCATTATAGTTTCACAAAGTTGGTACTATTATTGCTGTAGTCAGTGGAGAACCCATGGAAGGTTTAGACTAGAAGAAACTCTACAATTAAACCCCTCCATAACTAACTGCAACACTGCACGTGTATTTTGTTATCAATTAAACATCCAGTGTATACAAAGTCTTCTTTTGTAAAGATGCTAACTCACTTTTAGATTTCAGCCCATGCTTCTCTATACCACAAAGTAAAATTATCCCAACTAGAAGGAACAGCATAACATTGAGGCTGTCATACTACCTTCAGGGTCCTATGTAATAATCTATACTTCAGAGATCCAGCTGGGGAAGCTTGAGCCATGGCTCAAGCTTGTAATCCCAGCACTTTGGGAGAGGGAGGCGAGGGAATTGCCTGAGCTCAGGGGTTCAAGACCAACCTGAACAACATGGCGAGACCTCATCTCTACAGTAAATCACACTGGGCGTGGTGGCACGTGCCTGTGGTTCCCTACTTGAAAGACTGAGGCAGAAGGATCAACTGAGCCCAGCAGGTCGAGGCTGCAGTAGCTGTGAGTATACCACAGCACTCCAGCCTGGGCGACAGAGTGAGACTTCGATTCAAGTATATATATATGGAGCCATTGACTTGTTGCTCTGTACCTGAGGTGCCCTGACTTATTCATCTGATGATAAGCCACCTTTTGTTTGTTTGTTTGTTTTGTGCTTTTTTTTGGTTTGTTTTTCATGGCTCCCTGAGAGATGAGGTCTCCCATGTTGCTCAGGTTGATCTTGAACCCCTGAGCTCAGGCAATCCCCTCGACTCCCTCTCCCAAAGTGCTGGGATTACAGGCTTGAGCCACTGAGCCTGGCTTCCCCAGCTGGATCTCTGAAGTGGAGATTACTACATGGGACCCTGAAGGTAGTATGACAGCCTGAATGTTATACTATCTGAAGCTGAGGTCACTGACTCCCAGCAACTGGACTCCCTCACACACCTACAGGCAGGATTCAGATCCTCACTGGCTACTGGCCAGAGGTGCCCCTCAGCTCCTTGCCACAGGGGCTTCTCCATGGGGCAGCTGACAACATGGCGGTGGGCTTCCCTTAGAGCAAGCAGCGAGAGCAAGAGAGAGTGAGTGCAACAGAAGTCCCAGTCTTTCTGTGACCCAGCCCCAGAAGGGCCATCCCATCGCTTTTGCTGTACTCTGTTTGTTGGAAGCAAGTGCCTAGGTCTAGCCCAGAGTAAAGGGGGAGGGGACCACACAAGGGCACGAATACCAGGAGGTAGGGACCATTGGGGGCCACATGAGAGGCTGCCTATACCGTCCTTGCATGCACAACAATATAGGAATAAACATCAAAACAGATCACAAATAGAGAAGACACAAGAAAGCAGAAGGGGAAGAAAAACACGTTCCAGCGCCCAATTACTTCAGATGCTCAGAGCTCACTCACTGTCTCTCAACCTCCCCAAATCCAGTCCAACAGCACCACCCCTGATGAGCCGCACTCTTCAGTCTCTCAGCCATCTCCTCTGCTCCACTGGCAAGACACCACCAAAGTTCTGGTTTTCTTTCTCTACACCAAGAACACTGCAGCACAAATACTTTCTAACAGCCTCCATGCTCCAATCTCTCTAAGTCACACTTTTAACTTATCCTCACGGTGAAAAAAGTTCTTCAGTGGCTCCCTGGTGTCCAACAAAATCCAGACTTTTGATGCTGCCATTCAGCGCCTTCCATCATTTGACCCAGCCTGGCTATCTGAACTCTTCATCCCCAAACCCTCACTGAAAACCACCATCTCAGGTAAACCACGCTTAACACCCAAACACACCATGTGAACACCATCACTCCCCCTCTCTCTACAAGGCCATCCTCACCTTACCATTATAAATTCCCGCCAGTTTCCAAGATGCAGAGCAGATCCCATCTTCTCCATCACACGTTTTCGGATCACTTCTAACTAGATTTCAGTTCCTCCTCTGAATGGGCACAGTCGTGAGAAACCACACCACTCACTGTGCAGGCTGGTCCCTGTGTGTGTGTCATGTTTTCCCAAGGAGTCAATAAGTTTCACACTGTCCTTCCTCCAGAGACCATCAGACTGCATCTCTGTGAGGACCAGGATGGGTCTTGTCATCCTCTCCTGAGGGTGGCTGCTCCATGACAGGCAATGTTTGTTGATCTAAAGCGGATGGATGGATGGATGGATGGATGGATGGATGGATGGAAATGTCAAGCACAATGTTTAGCATATAATAAGTGGCCAATAAGTAACACCAACAATCTTTAACATGGGAATTCTCAGCAGTGCCGTGGCTCACATCTGTAATCCCAGCACTTTGGGAGGCCAAGGCAGGAGGATTGCTTGAGCGCAGGAGTTTCAAGACTAGCCTAGCCAACATAACGAGACCTCATCTCTACAAAAAAATAAAAAAAAAAAACCGGTTGTGGTGGCATGCGCCTGTAGTCACAGCTACTCAGGAAGCATAGGCAGAAAGATCGCCTGAACCCAGGAGGTCAAGGTTGTGGTGAGCTGTGATTGTGCCACTGTACTCCAACCTAGGTGACAGAGAGAGACTCCAACTCAAAAAAAGGAGTGGGGGTTGGGGGAGGAATTCTCCACCCAGCAACACTTTAGCTATGTAAGAATCCTTCCAAAGAGAGCAAATGCAAATGAGATTTATCTGAGTCTGACATAAACAAACCCATTCACACAAACATCACAACTAAAAGCAAATTCGTAGCTGTTCCTCAGTCGCCCATCCTAACAGCGGGGCTTTGAGGTTCCGGGTGTCAAGTGCAGAGGCACTCGATGGCACAGCCAGGGCAGGACTCCGTCAGTTCCAAGCAACTTCAAATCAGTGTGCTCCAGCTATGAGCACTTGGGAAACGGCAGTGTTGAGAACTAAAAGGGGTGCTCGAGGGGAAGAGAGAAAAAATGTGTCCATTGTGGGGCGGAGGGGGCGGTGCCTGTATATTTTTGGTAAACTCTAATTTTAATAAATGATTTCTCAAAAAGAAATAACAAGACTTTTTAAAGCCTTTGTTGCCTCCCTCTAGGGAGAGGGTGGGCAATCTCTATTAAAGCACCTGATGTCCCAAATCCAGAGGAAACCCAGAGCCCCCTTTCTGGCAGGCTGGAGCAGCCAAGCCTGAAGTGAAGTCCCCCAGCAATCAGATCCCTGGTCATAGGTTGCCTGTGCTAATCCGGACCCGCCTGGACTCCGTAGGAGCGCTGGAAACCGCGGGGAAAGGGGGGCGGGGGTGGCCGGCTAGCGGCATCTTCCAAGAGCCGTGAACTCGCTGTCCCGCTCGGGCGATCCGGAAACTACGTCTACGAGCGGTTCTCCGAGACCCCGAGACGCATCGCGCGGGGCACCCGGGGTCCCCGGGGTTCTGAGGCTCGAGTTTTGCAAGCCCCGCAGCCTGAGACGGGAAGGGGGCGCCTCTCGCCCCGAACTCACCTGCTTTTCAGAACACACCGCCCCATCGGTCTCAGCTCTCCCAGAGGCATCCGCGGAATCTCCACGGTCCAACGTGCCCCAGGAAAGAGGGCGGAAAGTGTGCAGGGGTGAGGGCCGGGAGGCGAGGTCGCCAGGGGCTCCCCCCCGACTCGGGGTGAGGGGAGGGGGCGCAAGCCTGCTCGGCTCCTCCCCACCCAGCCGCCGGGATCCCCGCGGGGGACGCCGCACCGTGGGCGGCAGGGACCCGGGGACGGAGGGACCGGCCGGAGAGACCGCACGCAAAAACTTTCGGTCCCCCAGGAGCGACTCGGCGGGAAAGACCACCTTCCCTCGCGCCGGCTGGCGCCTCTCCCCGCGCGCCCC